CAGATCTTCGAGTGGCCACGCTTCTCGGTTTGATAGGTGTACCATTCCGCGTATAGTAACCGATTAAGAAAAATTGCTGATGTTGCCGCGGCAATGAAACAGTAATTATAGTGTAGCGCCGAGTCCCTCGCGTAAATGGTTCGCGTCAGTAGTACGCAGATCGCAAGGCAAAATCCACATGAAATGGCAGTCACGACGTAAGGCAAGGGTAATGCAGATTTGGGTAGCGTCAGAAACAAGACAAACGTCATGATGGTGGGCACCACGGGCAAGAAAAGCGAGATTGTAATTGGAACACGCTTCTCTGCCTTCCTTTTCTGCGACCAGACCTCAAAGTAAGCCATAAGCAGACGGCCCACGGCACCACCCACACCATTCAGCACTGTCAGCATCGCCCGCAGCGAATCACTGGGTTCCTCCCCAGAGAGTGCCGCGAGGACGTAATTTGCGTTGAAAATGACAACAAATTGAGACCCAATGCAGCAAAACATTGTCCACCATATACCCCACAACTCAAGCGTCAGGAGGTTGCGTAAAAACGTGTGCTGGTATTGTGGCGCTATGTAGTCCATGTCTGTCTCCGGTGGAGCATTCTGCATCTTCCCCGAAGAATTATCAGGAGTGCTGCTGGCTTGAGTGTTCTGCAGTATAATCGCATTTGGAGATGTGTCATCCACCAGATAATCGTTGATTTCTCCAGGCATCCCGTTGGCAGAGATTTCATGGGTATTGTTATGTGTCGTGTCTTCATGCACTTCGGAAGTATTCTTGGGGCCGTTGAGGCCAGGAAAGGGGACAGCGATGAGCGGAACCATCAGCCACATCACTATTGAAGCTATACCAAACGCAACTTTATATTTTGAACCGAGATGGAGATACACAACCAACGAGCTTGATAACGGGAGATAAATAATCAAAATAAATACAAGCGTATAGCCATAGATGAAACGTGGAATAGGCGGCCTTTGTTTCAGGTAAGCTTTCTTCCAAGACTTTCTGTTCGCAATTTCTTCAGGCTTCAGACGATCTTGCTCATAGGGCATAATGAAGTATGGTGGCTGCCGCACAAAAAAGATAAAAAAAGTTCCCACCACGG